TCAGATCGCGAAATCGAGATTAGCCACGAGCTCGCGCAGTATCTGCTGCAATATGAAGAGCTGTTGACATCTTGTTCGGACGTATGTGGAGAGCTTGACAGCCTTCTTGCATTAGCACAAGGCGCGAAGATCTACAAGCTTTGTCGCCCTCGAATGACCCAGGACAATGTCATACGTATCAAGGGAGGCCGGTGAGTCGGGTCATCTGGATGCGGCATGTAGCCACTGACTTCAGTATAGCCATATCCTGCAAGAGCTCACAGTATCATCTTTCGTCGCGAACGACACGACTCTAAGAGGCGGGGAGGGCGATGGAGCTTCTGAGGAAGACGTCGATGATAGCTATGGTACCGGTACCCAACCGATTACGAGCTCTGCAAGTCGCCATACCTACGCGCACAAAGACAGCGCAAGCATGCTTGTATTGACCGGGCCCAACTACTCAGGCAAAAGCGTGTACCTGAAGCAGGTCGCGCTCATCGTATATATGGCCCATGTCGGATGCTTCGTCCCGGCAGATAGCGCAAAGATTGGGCTAACGGACAAGATTCTCTCCAGAGTCACGACGCGCGAGACGGTGTCTCGTGTCCAGAGCGCTTTCATGATAGATCTGCAGCAGATATCCCTTGCACTGAGCTTGGCAACGCGTCGCAGCTTGCTCATCATCGATGAGTTCGGCAAGGGAACTGAATCTAGTGATGGCGCTGGTCTGGCATGCGCAGTCATGGAGTACTTGCTGAGTCTGGGATCTGAGCGACCGAAGGTCATTGGTGCTACGCATTTCCATGGTGCGTGGTAATCGATCATCCATTCGTCAGCTGCTCATGCGTACCAGAGATCTTCGAAATGAACCTGCTTAAGCCGAGACCCGCTCTTGCATTCGGGCACATGGAAGTACGCATCGATGCCGAAGCGTCGGAAGTCAACGAGCAGATAACATATCTCTACAAGTAAGTATACTACAACAGCAAGAAATAGGGTATGCTAACAGCGCGTAGCTTTCGCGAAGGTCGAAGCACCTCAAGCTTTGGTACCTGGTAAGTCGATGACTTCCTCCTGATCTGTCTTTACTGACAGGACCAAAGCTGCGCCGCCATGAACGGCGTCCCTCCAGAGATTATACAACGTGCGGAGAACCTCATCCTCCTCTCTGTTCGCGGCGAAGACCTCGTAGCTGCGTGCTGTCAGATGCCGGAGGACGAAGCCGCAGAGCTTGAAGAAGCGGTATGTGAAGCTAGGCAGGTCGTAATGTTGGCTGACTCTGCGGTAGGAGCAAATTGCAAGGGACTTCCTTGAGGCCGACGTCTACCGCAATCCAAAGACTACGCTGGCCGACATACTCACTGTATCTACAACCACGGATTCGCGCAGCTAGAAGTGGATGCATCGATGATGACGTTCGGTAAGCGGGACGTGGACAGGACGAAGGTGGAAAGTGTGGGAAGGACCATGGATCGTGCAAAACACTACTCTGCTTTATCCCACGAGAGATCTTACAGCAGCAGCTCGATTGATTCGTAACGTAGACGTAAAATGAGATCCGACCTGGGCAGACGACGTGACGATGCTTTCAAGATTGCTCTACCTGATCCATGGCCTTGGTCACGTCTTCTTCCTTGAACCGATGCATAAGCTTCAGTGACGATATGGTCGTCTCTTTAGCTTCGGCTTTGTCGATGTGGATCTAGTTGAACATTCAGGTACTCCGTGCATTACACGCATATATAGACCCATGGTCCGGGTCGGCTTACCACCGGAGTATCGAACTCGTACGCGCTCTTCCACTTTTCTTGCCCTGCATCCATGACATTGATCTCCTCGTAATCAAATGGCCGCTTGACTCTGACATTCTGCACGACTGCTTTAGCCGTATCGCATAGGCCGCATGGGGTTCGGGTGAAGAAGGTGACGCGGCAAGCGAGCAGGCGGGATGTGGCGCGGAACATGTTGGCGACGTGTTGACAACCCACACACTCTCTCTTTAGCGATGACTACGAGCGTGCAATACGAACGGAGGCTTTGGGCTGACGCGACGGGAATTCCGAAGATGGAAAGCTTCAACGGCCAGGATATCGATTAAGCTTCGCGCTTGGACCCTATGATGACGGCTGATTTCCAGAATGTTCGGAACAAAATCTGGGGCATCGCAACACGACAAGCAGCGCGCATTCGACCTTTCCCTCCACTGGTTAAGCGCGTTATTGACAGCAATCGACAATCATGGCGAAGAAGTGTGTTCACAAGGGCTGCGGCAAGACGTACGAGGACGAGAACGAGGAGTGTGTTTACCATCCCGGCCCACCCAAATTCCATGAGGGGCAGAAAGGTAGGTCAGCACCACCAACACGTATATCACCAAGACCAGGACAGATGCTAATTGAATTCCCCAGGGTGGGAATGCTGCAAACCACGCGTCTTGACCTTTGACGAGTTCCTCGCAATCGAGCCGTGCACCAAAGGCAAGCACTCGGACGTCGACGACACACCCAAGCCCGAGCCCGTCAAAGCCCCCGACGTACCCAATGACACCCAAGTCAACCTCGGATCGCTCGAGGAATCGCTACCTGCGCCCGCCCCCCGATTACCCACCGCACAAGCCACGCCCAAGCCAAGCGCTTCACCGGCGCCGCCGCCAGAATCCGAAGACGACGACCCGAGTCTGGAGATCAAGGAGGGCATGACATGTCGGAGGAAAGGATGCGGCGCGACACACAAGGGAGGCGATAGGGAAGGAGAGAGCTGCATACACCACCCCGGTGCGCCCATCTTCCACGAGGGCAGCAAGGGGTGGAGTTGCTGTAAGAGGCGGGTCATGGAGTTTGATCAGTTCATGAAGATCGAGGGGTGCAAGACAAAAGACCGACATTTGTTCATCGGCAGCGGCAAGAAGAAGGAGGGCGAGGAGAAATTAGAGACAGTTCGGTACGTTCACCCTACCCTCCATGTTCAGACTACCCAAGCCCATCTACTAACCCCACCCCCAGACACGACTACTACCAAACCGCCACCTCGGTCGTCGCATCCCTCTACCTCAAGAAAATCGACAAAGCAACCGCCGTCGTCGACTTCCAACCCACACACGTCAAGCTCGATCTCCCCACCTCAGACAGCAAGCGCTACCAAACTGAATTCCCCCTCTTCTCGACTATCAAGCCGGAAGAGAGCAAGTTCAGAATACTGGGCACCAAGCTCGAGATGACGCTAGTCAAGGCCGATGGAGCTAGCTGGCCGGTACTGAGGAGCGACGATAAACCTACTGGGGAGATGATCCAGGTGGGTAGGGCGGGGAGGGCGTAGGGGTCCAAGTGATCTGGATGGAGTAGAGTAGAGTCATGCAGAAACGAAGTTACGTTAAATCAGGCATACTGCAGTTCATCATGAGTTTATGGGGTTGTGAGTATGTGGATATAGTAGGCATGGTGGACATACATGTGAGAGAGAGGGGGTGGCTTATTAATCATGACGCACCTCGCGCTCTAGCTATCTCCGCATGTTATGCAATCAGCCTTACAACATGCACATTTCCAATCTTGGGGAGGTTTACTAAACAGTGAACCAAGGTACCGAGGACTGTAGCAAGATATAAGTCGAATCGCCCGGTTCGTCATTGTTATTACACCAATCCTCCTCGACTAATCTCCTTCACAACAACCCACCCACCCAACATCCCCATACCAACTCAACCTACCCTCCCCTAGACCGCAGCCAAACCCAACAATGTCCCCCAAACCCCCCCTCATCACCATAATCGCCGGCGTCGGCCCCGGAACCGGCGCCTCCGTCGCCCGCAAATTCAGCCAAGCCTACCCCGTCGTCCTCCTCGCCCGCACCCCCGAATCCTTCTCTTCTCTCGCCTCTGAAATAAACGCGGCCGGCGGCCGCGCCCTCGGTATCGCCACAGACGTATCCTCTTCTTCCAGCTTGTCTTCCGCTCTCACCAACATAAAGAGTGAGTTTGGGGATGAGGTGGGGGCTGCGGCGGCGATTTTCAATGCTTCTGGTGCGTTTATGCGGAAGCCGTTTTTGGAGATTCCGAGCGAGACGTTTGAGAAGGGGTTGGGGGTTAGTGGGATGGGTGGTGTGTTGTTTTCGCAGATGGTCTTGCCGTTGTTGCTTAAGGGCGTGGAGAGGGGGGGTGAGGATACGTATCCGCCTAGTCTGATTTTTACGGGGGCGACGGCGAGTGTCAAGAGTAATGCGCAGATGGCGAGTTTCTCGACGGGGAAGTGGGCGTTGAGGGCGTTGAGTCAGAGTCTTGCGAGGGAGTTTGGACCGCAGGGTGTGAGTATAGCTTTTCTCGTTGGGTTGCTTTGTGGATGTGTCGTTTTCTGATACAGTGTGTCTGTGAGTAGGTTCATGTTGCGCATGCGATTATTGATGGGGTGATTGATATTCCGAGGACGAAGGAGTGGTTGAAGGATATGCCTAAGGAGGCTAAGTTGAGCGCTGATGCGGTGAGTAATAGTTCGACGGTGAGGAGATGCTTGAAGCTGATGTGTGGACAGATTGCAAACGATTATTGGTGGTTGCATACCCAGCCTAAGACGAACTTTACGTGGGAGATTGATCTTAGGCCTGCGGTTGAGAAGTGGTAGGTGCGGGCTGTCACGCTGAGAGGAATGTGGGATAGGAAAGTGGCGCATGAGAGTGTCATGAGTATCAATAGCAAACACTCTTCGTTCGCCGATGGTATAAGTTCCTGCGTCACCGCGTCAATATCTTTGATATCGCAGTAAATTTCTGCGTCACCGTGGATACCTTCACTTTGTTTTCACGCCCTCTCGAGGTGAAGACGAGTACGCTAGGAGGCCCTCAGTGTATATAAACTTTTCGATCTGACTTTGTTCTCTCTCTTTACTACCCACAACAACATTGCGGGTACCAAAACGCGCAAACCACTATATCCTTTGACGATTACATCACAAACACATCGAGGTATGCTTATTGGTGAATGCCTCTTGTATGCGGTAAACGATACTAAAATCCAGTAGATCTATAACATGTCTGGCCTCGGTAGCTCCCGCTGGTCCTCCAAGCCGACACCAAAGCCATCTGGAGATGATGCGAAGACTCCGGATGAGCCGTAAGTTTCTTTCACTTTGCCTCAACAGGGATGGTATACCAACAGTATTACAGCAAACACGTCGCCGTCCCGTCTTTCGGATTCACGATGCCTAAGTTCAGGAAGAAGTCCGCTCCCGTCGTCTCATCTTCAGTAGAGGCCAAGTTGGTCGAGACGAAGAAACCCGCGGCCAAGGTCGATGCTTCTCCCTGTCAAGAACTTGTCAAGGTCGAGACGGAACGACCGCAGTCCAAGGTCTCCGCCGCCATTCAGGCGACTCGAGACCAGATGGCCAAGTTCGTGGGCCTACGTCGTCAAGATCGCCCTTCCACGGCAAATGCGACGATTGGACATGGTCCGAGCGCGTCGTACGGAGGATATATCAGGAGAGGATAGATAGGCTGTAGTTGCCTGACATGACGTTCAGGGATCAGAGACAGACCAGGTACAGGAGGCTGGAAGCTACATTCAGCTTCCTGATGTTTGTATGACCAATCAAAGTACATTAAAAACCTCCTGGCTACCTCCCGCCATAGGCGATAGAATGATCAAAACTTGATTTAGACTCCATGTACCACAGTTTCGACAGACGCAACGGGTGCGACATAATATGCCCGAGGGCAGATAAGATGCAAGGTCTACACCGATCGTGCAGCAGCCAGATTGGGCCACTTGCAGAAAATCTCACTCATCAATGTCAGGCTGAACTTGGTCGCATGCGCATGCGCGACATAGTTCGCTAACCGTGGCGAGGGGAGAAATGTCCCATTTGGCCTGACGTACGAGTGCGGCGTATCCATGGGTAGTCGAGAACCCCTGGCACCTTTCATCTACAACGTCGTTGAGACGCAGAGTCGTTGGAGCGCATCGAGGTGATTTGCCGGGCAGAGGCAAATGCTAAGGCCGAGCCATCGAGATTGATGCCGCTTTCAGACCCGCGGAAGTAAGACAACGAGGCTACGTCTACCGGCCAACACGGCCTGGCGATATCATAGGTAGCGATATGCGTAGTTAGCTGGATGGGGCAAAAGATAGACGAGAGGCTCGCATCATGTGAAGGTGTTGCACCGTTCGGAGCCTTGCATACAACCATGCGGGACATGCGCTGGCGACGATGGGCATGGTTCTGACGGACTAGAGTAAGGTGACGGTGAAGCGCCTGGCTGACAGCCAAACGCAATCGACTGGGCGTATTTGTACGTGCGCCATAAGGCTCCGCGACACCTTACTACTGCATGCAGGCCCACCCACGTGTCAGCGCCCGTTCTGCGTGCGACAGCTCATGTGCTGGAGCAAGCAGAGAGGGAGGCGTTTGAGAGACTCGGACCAGGTGGGATTAGCGATAGATGGAGATGCGGTGCTAACCGGGCCGCTGGTGAAGTGGAAGGCTGCTGCTGCGACTGCGCGGCGGCCAACAGCTGGGCCGCTGGGGTGTCTGGCCGTGGGCTGTCAGGGTAAGCATAAGCTCATGACGGCAGACCGGCAGAGAAATCGCGGTGACTGGTAAGTTTGTCGGATGAAGCGATCGCTTAAATACCACGGTATGCTATGGCAGCACTCGCTGCAAGGACCAACGCCAAGTTGCTCTCGTCCCGTCGGAAGGGAAGGTCCAACGTTAATACCCGTGTGCCCGCAGCATCTAAGCCAGACGCCAGCCAGCACCCAACGCTGGAACCACACGAACCGGCGACCGCAGATTGTGCTGCCTGCTGCCCTGGAATACGCGACGATTGCGCAAGACCTCCGACCTGCATTGCATCTCGTCGTCGTCGTCTGGTAATCTTCGGCCCCAGCCCGTGACTGGCGTTTCCGGCAACCATCCCATCTCTCCGGCCCGCACATCGCAGCAACATCACCCGAAGACTCGATCAACAAGACGCGCGCAGCCTCGCAGCACCGCCATTCTTCATCCACACCCGTTCTCAGAACTCCCTGCACTCATCGCCAATATTCGCGCACCGCCTGAGCTGGGCGCCGTCGCGCATCTTCCCATGACCGGAGAGAATGCACCGCGGCTAACTGCACTGCCTGCTTACCCACCACAACAACGACATCAACGGCCGCCATCTCCTCCCGGACAGCATCAGCAACTGCAGTCTCCCCTAACCCAGCTGTCTCCATCCACCGTCAAGGCGTCTCCGCAGCAGACTCCCGGGCCCCTTGATGCCAGCGGCGGCAGTGCTGAGCCCTCAGCAAAACGAGGCATGCGCTCGCAGATTGCATGTACCAGATGTCGCCGAAGCAAGACCAAGTGCGAAAACACCGGTCAGGGCACGACGTGCAAGGCTTGCGCGAATACCAACCGCGACTGTACCTGGGACCACGCGGCTGTCGCAAGCAGTACAGGATCTGTGCGTCGCGATAGCACGGCCGATTTCGATGTAAGTCATCCTTTTTTGTCGCCCAATACTCCATTAGTCGTGTTGCATATCAACGTTCGTGGCTGAGTTCACGTCCTGGGCTATATCACGTGCTAGTGCTGACACCCCCAGGCCCCGCCCAAGAAGCGACGCAAATTGCTAGCACCAACATCAACTACAGCACAACGCTCGATAGAAGGCTTGGGCTCGCTTGAAGATGCGCTTCAATCACCATTGCTTACTTCCCAGGTCTGGGAAGAGCTGTTTGACATCTATGAGAAGCATTTCTCTACAGACTTCCCCTTCTTGCATAAGCGAACTTTCCTCAGCTCTGTGCGGCCGCCGCCTTCATCTGGCAGCTCATCTGAAGTTAAGACCCCGACTCAAGCTCCGACGCCGCGCGTGTATGCGCCTTTGCTCTTAGCCTTCCTTACCCAGACTGCTCGTTTCCATGACAAGCTCGTAGCGCAAATGGGTAATGACCCGATCAGGACTGCCGAATTCTACGCATCAGCGACTCGCAAGCAGATGGGAACGGAAGTCGTTGGGTCCCCGAATGTGGAAAAGATCCAAACACTCCTCATGTTGGGGTATTATGAATGGACCAATTTGCAAGGTACTGATGGCTGGATGAAGATCGGCGTTGCTATCAGAGCTGCCATATGCCTTGGGTACCCGCACCTGGATGTCGATGAAAGTGGACTACCTGCACCACTGAAAGACTGTGAAAAGGGCCTTTCGGAAAAGGACCAATTCATACTTCGTGAGACTCAGCGGCGTACCTTTTGGAGCTGCGTCCTCATGGATTGCTATCTGAGTTGGGGCGAGGATCGGCCGAGGATGCTTACGCCCGATCAACTTCAAAGAACTCAACTTGTCTGTAGCGATGGCGCATTCAATTTCGGAAAAAGAGCAAGAACAAGGCTTCTGGGTGAAGACGATGCGATGTATACTGCGCGGAGGAAACGATGGAACAAACATGCTGAGGAACGCCGTAATGACCACGACGGAGCAGATCGAGCCAGTGCCCTGGACGGGGGGAGGTGGGAAGTTGCTGAGGGGGAGGCAGAACTAACATGGTACATCAAAGTTGTTGTGATCTTCGGAGAAGTCTCACAATGGTCCTGTAAACGCGGCAGAAGGTCCGTTAGCCTCATTCATCCCGCCGCGATATTTGACTGACAACGTGTAGACAAGAAGGCAAGAATCCACCGTGGTGCGCAACGACTGGCTTCAAGAAATTGGAGGACAAACTCAAGCAGTTGAAGCGCGACCTTCCTGATCACCTCCAGCTGACCTCGGACAACAACGACGACCGTAGCTACAACTCGCCCGGCAAATACGTTGCGATACATGCAATGTACACATTGTGTTTTGTGTGGTTGTACAGAGAGTACATGCCCACATCACCATGGACGTTGACGTATCCCCGCGGCCCGTTGGACGAGCCACTAATTGATGAGAAACCCCCTGACCCTGACTACTGGATCAAGCAAGCCAAAGACTGTTGGAAAGCCTGCCTCGACTTCACAACACTACTTCATACTATCGAGAACTCACAAGTTCACAGCAATTTAGTACAAACGCCAACGGTAGCTTTCTCTTGTTTTGCCGTTGGAATAGGCAGTAAGTATCTAACAGTGATTTGGTCGGGTATTGCTAACCACCCCAGCCATCTACTGCCACTACTTTCCTCACATGGACCCGGACGACGCCCTCTCATCTCGTAAAGACCCTAGAGCCCATGATATCGCAAACGGCTTCCTACTGCGCATTTTGAGTCGCTTCAAGATGGCCCGCTCGTGGCTCAGTCAACTAGCAGAATGGCAAAGATATTACCGTCGTGAGAGGAAGAAGTACCGAGAGCTAAGCGGCCAGATCGATGATTCTCCAAAGAGCAACTCCAGCGACGGCGTCGCTAGCGGTGGGCTGAAAGACTATGCACAGCTCTTCGAAAGAACGCACAAGCAGTTCGGTGACATTGCCAACGCTAACGACAATGACGGACAATGGCCCGACAGGGACAAGGACCTCGCGGATACGAGACTGCCGCATGACGAAGACTCTGCAGAGCGCACCTTGCCTACCAGTGCGGCTTCAGTCAAGCATGAGTTGCAAGGTGCACCAGAAGAAAAGTCCAGTAACCAGTCCGGCTTTACTGCCGTCAACCACAATGGTCAACAAACTCCTCCAGCTCCGCCGCCAGTCACCCAACCATCAACCTACGCGCACGGCGGCCGTACACCTTCTTATGATCAAAACTCTCACATGCGCGCCACGGCACTGACATCACCACAACAACCCTACCCAGCATACCAGTATCCCAATACTCAGCATTCCCTGAGAAGTCCTTTCCAGCAGTCTGACCCCCGACAATCGCCTGTGCCAGCCCCGGCATCTGTCCCGATACACAGTGTCTACCAACCATGGCCACAAGCACGACCGCAGGAGTTACAGGAGCAGAAGGTGAACATGGAGATTTGCGGCGCTGCTACTTTCCCCAACGGCTGGGCGGGCGACGTCATGATTGGTGATAGTGCTCAAGACTTTAACAATTGGGGACAATATGGCTTTCCGACCATCCCGGATAACTCGGGGTATTATCAGTCTGGGTATTCGTATCCGCCGCAGTAGTTCTGTGGGGTTGGGATTGGGGTTGTTTTGTGCTTCGCGATGTTTAGTGTCAAGAAGCGTTTGGCGCGTGAGCAATGTTACGACGAACGTCCTTGGTCGTGTTTGATTTTCAGCATATCTGTTTGGCTTGTTGTCATCCACATTCTTTTGTTCCTTCCTTCGGCGCATGTTGCGGTTCTTGCTGTGGTTGGCTGCATTGGTGTGCCATTTAGATTCCTAAGGGCGACAGGATGTTATGTAGCGAATTTTGTTTCTTCACAGGCGGGTTACTTGTTATGCGATGATTTTGGGTTGGCATGCGACGGGAGAGTCGTGGGCGGATCGATCGGTCTTTATGCACATGTAGATGCACATGTAGATGCACGTATCGTATAGCATGTTTGTGGATTTGTGGCAATCTAGTAGTATCAATCCTGGCAGAAGCGTCTTCGACCGATCCCTGATGCATGAGGTTGATGATATTGACGCCGCAATCTGCCCAACGGCAATGCTGAGCGTATAACGAGTTTGACCTTTTCAAAGCACTTTGATGGAGTCATCCTTGAGAGGTTCATGAGAAACCTAGCGATGCAAGACGTATGAAAGACTCGAGATCGGTGTCTCTTCCATCAGCTCGCGCTGAGTATGGTTGCTTGCTTTTCGCGATGATCATGGCCTTGTTATGTCAGGCCAAATCAATGTACCTCGGTAACTCTCCCCCACATTCCATCACCACGAGGTTCCGACCCATCACTCATCATCCATGCCACCGCATCTCACCCCCGTCATTCCATCCGCAATTATCCCTAACAATTGACCTCCGAGCAAATTCGCCGATGCCCGTCGTCATCACACCGCGGATGCCTTTCCCAATTCAGGGCGGAAAGGCCTCAACCCAAGCTTCCGCAAGCATCCACAACTATACGACCAAGCATTAACCCTCACGCTAACCCCACTGATCGCCACCCTTCTGCACCGCCTGGGCAACGGCCATGGCGCACATCGGACGTGTTTCCCCGCCTGCCTCAACCGAGATGCGGGCATCGACTCCACTAACAAGCTTCCAAGCTGCGATATTGGTGGAATCGGTGCTTGCGTCTTCTGGCATGGTCTAGGATGCGGCGAAGCGACTAGACGTGCTAGTATCGCTACGGCTACTCATCCGGCTCAACACGCGGTCTTAGCACGCTCAACATGGGGGTAAACTGGGGAAAGTCGCTGGGGAAAAGAGGTATGTGCGTTCGGATCGCAATGGCACGAGCGGCATGGAAACGATGCTGTCATTACCTGACAGGAACGAGGAAAGATCCTGGTTCGGCTACATGCATACCGTCTGAAGCTCCGGAAGCTTTATATTGCTTGCTCTCCCCGCGGAATCTGACCGGGCCACAAGCAAATTGACCTTTGGTTTCGCATTTTGGTCAATATGAAGAGCTTCTCAAAGCTTGCAGGCGCGGTTGCGCTGGGATGTTTCGCAGTTGAGACTGCGGCGAGGGCTGTGGGGTATTCGCCTCAGCAGTGGATTAAGCCGTATAAGAGAGAGGCTTTGCAGGATATTGTGAGTTGCGGAGTTGATAGAATATCTTGGAACGATGATGGCTAACTAATATGCAGGTCACATGGGATGAAGACTCGCTCTTCGTACATGGAGAACGCATCTTTCTATACTCTGGCGAGGTCCACCCGTACAGATTACCGGTGCCTGATCTCTACTCCGATGTCTTCCAGAAGATCAAGGCTCTTGGCTACAATGGTGTTTCCTTCTACGTGGACTGGGCGTTGCTTGAGGGCAAACCCGGTGTTTACCGCGAAGAGGGTGTCTTTGACTTGAAGCCTTTCTTCGATGCTGCACAGGAAGCCGGTATCTACCTGATTGCTAGACCAGGCCCTTACATCAACGCTGAGGTTTCTGGTGGAGGCTTCCCCGGATGGATTCAGAGAGTCAATGGCACGCTGAGAACGCGTGCGCCTGACTTCTTGGAGGCAACTGATAAGTATGTCTCTTAACTGGAACTAAGTGGCGCTTTGCTAACAGCGGAATAGCTACATGAAGAATGTGTTGGCGACAATTGCGCCTGCGCAAATCACTAACGGCGGACCAATCATTCTCGTTCAGCCCGAGAATGAGTACACACAAGCCACTTCGGCTATCAAGCCTTTCCCGGATCCGATCTACATGCAATACGTCGAAGATCAGATTCGCGACGCCGGTATCATCGTGCCTTTGATCAGCAACGACGCCTCCGCTAAGGGCAACAACGCGCCCGGTCAACCTGCAGCTGTTGACATCTACGGCCACGATGGATATCCTCTTGGGTTCGACTGTGCCAACCCAACCACATGGCCAGATGGCAATCTTCCAACAAACTGGCATCAACTTCACGAGCAGCAGAGCCCCACTACGCCTTACTCCATCGTTGAGTTCCAGTCTGGCAGTTTTGACCCTTGGGGTGGACCCGGTTTCGACAAGTGCGGCATTCTGGTGGGCGCAGAGTTCAACCGTGTCTTCTACAAGCAACTTTACAGCTTCGGTGTCACCATCTTGAACTTGTACATGACTTACGGTGGCACCAACTGGGGCAACCTTGGTCACCCAGGTGGCTACACCAGTTACGACTACGCTGCACCGATCAAGGAGGACCGTCAAGTCGACCGCGCGAAGTACTCCGAGCTAAAGCTCCAGGCAAACTTCTTCAAGGTCAGCCCTGCGTACCTGACGGCTGCACGTGGCAATGCTTCGACTTCCAAGTGGACTACCAGCAGTGACCTTAGCGTTACTCCCGCCACCAACGAGAAGACGACATTCTACTTCGTCAGGCATTCCAAGTACAACTCGCTAGCTTCCACAACCTACAAGCTCAACGTTGCAACGTCGGCATTGGGCAACATTACTGTACCCCAAATGAACGGCACTTCGTTGACGCTGAACGGGCGCGATTCCAAGATCCACGTAAGCGACTACGATATTGGCGGCACCGCCCTTGTCTACTCTACTGCCGAAGTCTTCACTTGGCACAAGTATGAAGACAAGACTGTCTTGGTCGTGTACGGTGGACCTGGAGAGACTCACGAGTTGGCCCTTGCTGCTACTGGACTGGAAGTCGTCGAAGGCGATGTCAAGAGCATGACTACTAGTGGAGTCACAGTCTTGAACTTCAAGGCTGATGGAGGTAGAAAGGTGGCAAAGCTTGGAGCTGACAGCCCCATTTATGTGTACATGGTCGACCGCGTCGAAGCCTTCAACTACTGGGCCGTCGACCAGGCACCCCACGACTCGTCCAACCCTGTCATTCTCAAGGCCGGCTACCTGATGCGCACTGCCAACGTCACTGGCGACACTCTTGCACTCACTGGTGATCTCAACGCTACAACCACTGTTGAGGTTCTTGGTGGTGCATCATCTGATGTGTCCAAGATGACCTTCAATGGCCAGAACATCGACTTCACCACCTCCGAGCAAGGAACTTTGTGCGCCGACATTGAATTTACCAAGCCAGATGTCAGCCTACCCAAACTCAGCGAACTCGAGTGGAAGTACGTCGACTCGCTTCCTGAGATCCAACCCGGATACGATGACAGCGAGTGGACTGCGGCCGATCTGAAGAAGACGTACAACTCTCTGCGTCCTCTTGATACCCCCGTATCGCTATACAGCTCCGACTACGGCTACCATACCGGCACGCTACTCTTCCGCGGTACCTTCACGGCATCTGGAAACGAGACCATTTTCAACCTTACCACCCAAGGTGGCTCAGCATTCGGCTCATCCGCCTGGATCGGCGACCAATTCCTCGGTTCATGGCGCGGATACGACGCAGCCCTGAACGGAAGCGCCATTTTCACCATGCCCAACCTGACCAAGGGAAAGAAGTACACCATCACGGTCGTAGTCGACAACCAAGGTCTCGACGAGAACTGGACCATCGGCACCGAGACGATGAAGAACCCGCGCGGTATCCTAGACTACAAGCTATCCGGCCACGACGCCTCCGATATCACCTGGAAGCTCACCGGTAACCTGGGTGGAGAAGATTACCGCGACATCTCGCGCGGTCCCCTCAACGAAGGCGGCCTCTTCGTCGAGCGCCAGGGTCTGCACCTCCCCGGTGCGCTCTCCGCGACCGACGCTAAATGGACTGCTTCCGCCGGCCCCGTCGCCGACGGCATCTCCGCCCCTGGAATCGGGTTTTTCGCCACGGAATTCGATCTCAACATGCCAGCTGGCTACGATATCCCGCTCAGCTTTACGTTCACCAACGGCACTTCTTCTGGTAACAGTAGCAGCGGCGGTTCGAGTGTTCCTGCGTACCGCGTCCAGCTTTACGTTAATGGATGGCAGTATGGGAAGTATGTTAGCAATGTAGGGCCGCAAGTCAAGTTCCCTGTTACGGAGGGTATTCTGAACTACAACGGAACGAACTACCTGGGCGTCTCGCTTTGGGGACTCGACGGTGGGGCGACGAAGGTTGAGGGCTTTGAGTTGGAGGTTGATGCGGAGATTTGGAGTGGGATGAAGAAGGTGGGGACTGTCATGGGGATGGAGTATGAGAAGAGGGAGGGTGCGTATTGAAATGTTTAGTATGAGATATCTCTATCAACTGCTCTTACATGTGAAACTGTAATTTGCGGGATCGCTGCTCTGCTCCTTCGCGTCCTATCATTTCCAAGCTCTTGTCGACCACGGTACTGCGGTGACGCACCAGACACCCCCCGCGGACAACATCAAAGCTATCGCAATCATACCGTATACCAGAGCACCATCTAAATGACCTGCCTAAAGGATCAGACCGCAGTCTGAGTCAAAGGCGCACTCTGTTCATTCCCAGCTCTTGTGCTCCGTTCACTTTCGCTGGACCGCCTAGCGCGGTCTTGGCGGAGGTACAAACAAGCGCCTCCCCGCACCCACCAACATTGTGTCTACGCTCGACTTACCCTCGACAGAAGGTTAATTTGTCGACCCTCGCCCAAGATACGTGCGGTAGTCGCGCGAAACCACGATGACAACACAGTAAACCCTGCATAGGAGCTTCCCTTGATGCGCATGTACTAACGCTGGCAGCGTCGGCAATCCCCGCCGCGGAACGAGCTTCCTCGATTTACCTGGAGGTACCAAACATACACCGTGTTCTATATTGCTTTCACTAGCTAATTGAAGGGTTACAGAACTGCGTAATGTTGTCTATCAGCACTTCATCGACGATCTCAAGGACGAACCGGATTCACTACCATCAGGCTCTACTTTGAGTCAAAAGCGCAGGCTCAGTCGATTTGGATGGTCGGATGGCCATGCTTTTAACCTGGCCTCCGTACACAGACAGATACATGCTGAGTTTATGACCTTATATCGACACCAGGTGTACCACAACGGAAGTCGGCTTTTTTTCAATCATGTCGACTACTTCCTCGACTTATTCTTCGGTCAAAGTCTCAACTCCGGTCTAAAGGACGTTTCGTATCAGTTTGAGGTTCGAATGGGCGCTGCCGGGGACTATCTAGAGGCTGATTGGTCGCTCGACTTGCTGAAAGTTGTCTCGATCATGCGTCATCACCCGTTGATCAGCATTGCATGGAATCTGGAAGCGACATTCGACGATTCAGGGGTGGTGTACGCCGTGTCAGCCCTGAAGGACATGGATGTCCAACTATTCGGGAAATTGAATTCCGTCATGCTCTACTTGAACAAATATATCGAATCCAACCATTTCGGTAGGACCGAAATAGAGGCTGAAATGCCTTGTATGCTGAAGAGAGATGCGACTAAGCAAGATGTCAACAGCATCAAGTCGTTGTTGTACCCTACCAGATGCAGAGGTATTGAAGTGGAGATTAGTTGGGAGGGCAGCTTTCGGGGCTGGTCAGACTGGGAGTCGTACCCTGAGGATGATTGGTCAAGTAATGAGGAAGACGATTCAGATAGTGCCGAAAAGGTCTCAGACAACGGGGAAGATGATCCCGAGAGCAGAGACCAGATATTGTGCATGTAATGCGGACGGAATGAATGAATGAAGTGCGCCTTTGACTCAGACCGCAATCTGATCTTCATCCGAATTAGTCATTAACATATTATTTTGGTATACGGTATAGCTGCGATAGCTTTCATGTATGGGGACGGAGGATGACAAGAGGGAGTGTTAGCTCTTGTCTTCACCTTTACTACCCCTCTTTGGTTTACCGCGGTCTTGGCGGGACACTGACAAACGCCTCATCGTCAACAACAACATTACTTCTTTACAGTTCTCACCGAACCTTCCTACACAGTAGTTCCAGCCGTGGAGCAAAACTCCGAGACGAACAAGCCCCTGCTGCGCAACACCGCTATGGCAGTCAAGTACGTTACCCAGCCAGCATTTCCAGTGAGTGCGTGCTAACAGTCGAAGCAGCAGAGACGACGGTGGCGGGAAGTCGCTTCTGGACCTTTCCGGAGGTAAGCATCGTATGAGCGTTATTTAGCCACGGCGAGCTAACGCCAGACTTTAGAGCTCCGCAATGCCGTCTACAATCACTTCATCGACCTCGATCCTACAGTCGGCGAAGCTACCGCACTAGCGCGTTCAAGCCAGCAGATTCGCGCTGAGTTTGGCTCGCTGTGTCTGGCATCAGGGCACTTCGCAATCCCTACGGAACAAGTCGACAGCTTCCTACACGTTTTCTTCCCTCGTCACTTCGACTTGGAACCGCGAGTCAATGGTTCCCTCACCGACCTGTCGTTCGACTGGTTAGAATCGCAAGACTGGTTGATCGGCCTACTGGAATTGGTCACGATCATGCATCGATACCCTCTACTCAAGATCTCATGGTTCAAAGATATCACCACGATCATTTCCATTCTGGAAAGCATGGACACTCGAAAGTTCGAAAAGATAACATCAGTGAAGTATTTCATACACTCATTTTCTAACAACCGCTCGAATTGCTGCGCTTACCTTTGGGTCACATTGAAGAGGAAAACAGATCCTTCTAGGCTGGGACTCAGCCGCAAATACGGAATAATCAACGTCTGTTTTGCTTGGGAATTAGGTTTAGACGGTGAAGAAGAGACTCCAGAAAGCTCAAGTGGGGACGAGGATGGCTCAGACAGTGAGGAAGAGAGTTCAGACGATGGAGATGATAACGAGGATAACGAGGATGGCGATGAAGACGCTCCAGACAGCAGCGAAGGCGCTGTGGAAAGTAGTGGCTAGGGAAAAATGTGGTTACTGAAATGAGACTGGGGTATGCGAAGATCAATTGGGGCGTACTGAGATGGTGGAAACATATCCTCATGATGAGTCTATACGCCATGAATGAAATCTACCCACATGATCAACGGAAATATTGTAGCATACACGTCGTATTGCTCGCATGGTTCTCTCATATTCCAGCGCTTACTCTCAATGCAGGGCTCACACTTTTCCTCGCTCACCGTGAGATTCCTAGCGCAGTCTTGGCGGAGGTGCAAACAAACGCTTCTTCGCGCACAACGATCCTTCCTACCTACCCTCGACCTATCCTCTACATTCGCTCCTTCTGTCGATTCTAGCCCGTGCTATTATCGCGCGACATCAGAATGACAAGCCAGTAAGCGTAGCACAGACGCTTCCCTCGATGAGCATGTACTAACGGCCATCTAGGTACAGCGTCGGCAGCCCTCGCGGCAGAAAGAGCTTCCTCGACGCACCTGGAGGTGAAATAGCCTATTGCGTCTTCTTGATATGTTGACTTACACAACAACAGAACTACGCAATACCTTCTACCACCACTTCATCAATCTCAGCCCATCAACCAGCGATGCTGCCAACCCTGCCTGCGTCAATCAGCAAGTCCACGCGGAGTTCACGACGCTGTATTTGAGCCGGAGATATCAAGGCACAACCGGGGTTCCATTCGAGCATGTTCCGTTCTTCTTACACTTCTTCTTCGTTCGGTACCCCGACGCGGCTCCCAAGACCGTAGTCTACAAGTTCAAAGTTTGACTCGGAAACCCAACGCCCAAAAGCATTGATTTTGACGCTTCTCCATGCTGGTCGCTGGATTTGCTCAAGGTCGTGTCGGTCATGCGCAAATACCCTTTGATCAGAGTGGTCTGGGACCTGGGCGCGGGCATGGGTCGCTACTCCGCCGTGTCGTTCGATGACACAGACGTCGCCTACGCCGTTGGGAACCTGAGATATATGAGTGCATAACATTTCAGCAAGTTCTCTTCCATCAGGCTCACTTTGTCTGAATCGCTCAAGGATATACACAGCTTCCAGCCATTCCGGGTCGGGACTGTCGTCGCCCTGGACGCTAGCCTTTCAATCAAGTCGAAGAAGGGCGTGACAGAAGATTTTTTTGATGATTTCGATACCAATTGCGGAGGCATCGATATAGAGCTTGCGTTGGAGAACAGCACGGATAGTGATGAGGAGAGTTCAGATGGCGAGGAAGACGATGCAGATGATGGTCACAACGACCCAGAGAGAGATGATCAGGTCCTTCCGGACTTAGGAGACTTGATCATATTTTGAAAGGGCTTGTTCCTAGATGTATTGGCATTTTGTAGACGATAAGGGGACCGATTCTCTCGATGAAGACGAAGATGTGGAGAGTCTGAGGATCGCGATCTCTCTCATGTCATATGAGATCCGGCAGCAGTAAGAGTCTATGAAGCTGGTTTAGTCCGCTTATCAAAATGCAAACACGTAGATTACGAGTTCTGAGATGTGGAACGAATCGTCCTCGCCGTCACTGCTATTCTCTTGTGCAAATGCGATAACGTGGACGCCAGCTTCGCCTAAAACAGGCGCAGTGATCTTGACCATATTTATCAAGTGTAAAACCACCAACGTACAATTTGTGGTACCAGGTGAAGGCAAAGCCAATCAACAGTCTTCACTCGGGTGCGCAGTTCCATGAAGAACCCACATCTTGTCTCTCACTTAATATTTTTAGCGCAGTCTTGGCAGAGGCTCAGATCTACGACCTGCTGCCCTGGTCAAGTTACTCGCTTTGCTTACGAACACGCACCAACAATTTCCGTGAAATACTTGCTCCATCAAGACCTACCCATAAATTGAGATACTATCTCATACTGTCACGATGACAACCGAGTAAGTCGTGCCCGAACACCACTCCGCATAAGCCCACACTGATTCACGAAGCGACAAACAACACCACCGCGGCGGGAAGTCGCTTCTTGACCTGCCTGGAGGTAAATTCCGCCATCCTGCTTGTTCAACTGACGCAAGCTGAACACATGAGACAGAGTTACGTAACGCGATCTACAAACACTTCATCGACCTTAACACATGCGCGTGTGACACCAACGCCATCAACCTACTGTGGGTCAACCGGCAAATTCGCGCCGAGTTTAGATCGTTGTACTTCAGTCAGGGCAATGTAAAAGTTTACTTCAACGACGTCGCAAGCTTCCTACACGCCTTCATCCTCCCTCCTGCGAACTTGGTGTGTGAGGAGGTTGCTTGCAAGATCCGGGTGGAGCTCCGCGGCCGCAAAACAGACGACGTCGATTGGCAATCCAACCTGGTGGACGTCATCTCGATCATGCGACAGTATCCTCTGCTCAGTATCAAATGGAACCTGGTCCCGCCTGGCCACTCCGAGCCCCGCAATGACTTAGGTCTCGCTGATTATGTGTGTGTCCTAAAGGATATGGAAGATCACGAGTTTGGGAAGATATCTTCCATTCGGCTTCTTCTTGATGATGAGCCATTGAATGGATACATTTACACCATTCTGACACGTGGATGTACAGAACAAGATACCGACGATATCCGGCTGAAGTTTGGGGGGCTTAGGTATCAACGCGGAGGTATAATGTTGCACTTGGACTAGCAGCCGTACGAAGCGCATACGATACCTCGGAAGCAAGGGAAGATGCGTGGAACAGCGGTGGGACAGCAGTTTGAAAGTACAATACAACGAGAGATCTCAAAGATCTAAAATATTGCACGGGTAATAGCCCATCTCATGCCATTTACCTGAAGATGCGAGATTTAAGTCAGTATTCTGAGTTCAAGAAGCTGTCTGTCTGATCGTTTGTGTCTAGCGCAGTCTACGTTGCACAGCAGATCTTGGCGGACGCTGAGACAAAACGACCTGTCGTCGGCACAATCTTGTATGCTACTAGAGCTTTTCAGTTCACCTACGAAGCTACCTTCCACTACGCTCAGATAGAGAATTCAAGCTACCACTGCACAGCACCATGATGGCAACCCAGTATGTTGCAGTCGAACATCCTGATTGATGAAAGAACAAACTGACGGTGATGGCGGTAGGGACCATGGTGGCGGAGCGCCGTTCCTTGACAGATTGTCTGGAGGTATGCGGTCCATGGACTGGTTTATCCAAATACGACCAACTAACCCGTCTCATTATAGAACTGCGCAATACCGTCTACAAGTACTTCCTCGACCTCGACCCATCTCTCGACCAGAGTATCCAGTTCCTCCAAGTCAATCGGCAGATCCGCTCTGAATTCGGGTCACTATACCTGAGTCAGGGCAACGCTATAGTACCTCTTGACTGCCTCATACCCTTCCTGCGCGACACCTTCCAGTCTATCGCTAGCCAGAGACCAAAGGACTTCACTTGCAGCTTCCTTGTACAGCTCGACTGGAACGATCTCTGTTGGCACAGGAGCTTCTGGGACCTCGATCTCTTTGAAACTGTCGCATTCATGCGTGGATATCCTTTACTCAACATTGAGTGGGACCTGAACCCTTCCAACCGCTGTAGTTACTCTAATCACTCCAACCGCCCTACCTACTCCAGCCGCGGCGACCGCTCCGACGTACCTGAAGAAGAAGAAGGAACCGAAGAAGAAGACGAGGACGAAGACGAGCCAGAGGAGAGACAACCCGAGGAGGCACAGCCTGACGAAGCACAACCCGAGGAATCAGAATCGGAGGAAGCAGACTCTGAGGAAGAAGAGATAGCGATTCCGCGTCATTCCGCTCGAGTCACTTTCAGTGTTGACGATATAGACATCGACGCGCCCCTGTCAATACTCAGAGAACTGGAGGATGAGTTGTACGCGAAGCTAGCTACTATTGATCTGTCCTTATCTATCAGGCCACCTTCAGATGAGAAGTTCAGTGTCGGTCTAGTAGCCTATCTCGACATCGCTCTAATGGCGAACTGTACGGAACGAGACTTCGAGAACTTTGGACTTGGTATGGAATGTGGGGGCATCAAAGTGCGTTTTCATATAGCGCATGAGCCAGAAAGCGAATACAATGTCTCCGAGAGCGAGGAAGACGAATAGGATCTCACTGTCGTGGAAGGGGGATACAGGACAGATGGTGCAGGGTTTATGGTAGAGCAATATACGAGTAATGACTGTTCAGATTCATGTGATGAGCTTGAGGATGTGAGAAATCAGCCCGCAGCTTAACGCCGGCCCGTTCATCGACTCCTTGGGTTTAGCGTGGTCTTGGCGGGAGGCCGCATCTTGGACTTAGGTGTGAGTCTGTCTTGTTTACGACACCTCTTCGACGACATCGAACCACCGAACATCAAAGCCAAGTCTCCTTTGGAAGGCCGAATGCGCCTTCGTCTCAATAGTTTGGCCTGAGTCAAAAACTGGCTCCAGTTTGAGTCGAAGACGCACTCCGTTCGTCGTTGCGACAACAGCATGGCACTCAGGTATGTCAAAAGAGCCGTGTGACACTGCAGTGCTAGTCGATGGAAACTAAGTTTCGAAGCAGCGCACACTACCGTCACAGAGCGAATTTCCTTGACCTACCCGGAGGTACGAGGTCTCCAAATCCCACGATTTACCTGCCCAGGGCTGATTTCAGGTCCTGAATATAGAGCTACGCAACGCCATCTACACCGAATTCCTCCATCTAACACCAAAATGTGCTGACGCCATAAACCTTGTCAACTCTCATGAGCAAGTCCACGACGAGTTCGCGCCTATGTACCTGTCTCCGTCCATCAGGCTGCGGCTATACAGTCCCGTCGTCCCTTTCCGACAACTGAACAATTACCTGCACGTCTTCTTCATCAAGCGTCCATACGAAAGTTTACGAACGATTAACCGTTACATCCTCATACGCCTCGACAAATTCGGAACTGGTGAAGAACGGAAAGTCGACCTTATTCAATTGGTCCAAGTCCAGAAAGAATTTCCTTCATTCATAATGATTTTCTGCCCAGGGGGCTACAGGAGTTTTTTTCTCACGTCTGACATGATAAATGAGATAAAATCTGCAGTGTCTGTCCTGAAGAACATGGACGCGCGCCAAGCCGAAAGAGTGGTCTCCGCCGAGCTTGAGATGTTCATGCCAGATGAAGAACAGAGAGAGGCCAACATGCAAGAGGCAGTATTCGTCAATATTACTGCGAAGAGACGATCTGAGAAGGTGTCGTGGGATAGTCGTTCGCGGTCCAGACGGCAGGAAGATGTGGACAATAGTCTTACTGAACTTGGATTCCCCGCAAATTACAAGCTCCTTGAGGTGCGGATCACGTGGGAAGACTGATCCACGATTGCGACGCGATGTGCTGGAGCGCGCGGGAATCTGTAGAGCCTTCATCGTTGTGCGGTCTTAGCCCATCGCCTACCCATCTTCGCAATTAGCCAGCAGCCTTACCACTTCGAAAGTCTTGATTCTAAATCACCGTTCTCTTCTCTCTTCTCACTCTTGTACCACTCTTACCAATGCGCTATGAGTGTCGATGCAATCGAGAGGTTACTGAGATGCTTTCCCAACTGTGGAATATACAGCTGCAAGTACGCGTACCCATGAGCAAGCCTGGTATCTTAATCTAAAGATGAACGAACATGTACTCACAATCATGTTCTCGAACCCAAGTTCCGAGCTCGGCGATAATGCAAAGAGCTCACAGCGCGCCACGCATCACCGCTCCTCCGATCACACTGCATGCTGCACGCTGCAGGGTATCTATCGAACAACGCCGACACCAGCTATCGTGAACTAGCGGGTATTGATACCACTACGCTAATTCTGCGCCTGATGACCATCAGGCAAGCTTCCGGTTCGTCCGTTGGTGATCAGAACACCCAGCTGATGGTCAAAGCGTGCCAGCGTACCTCGCCAATTCATGCCGCGACGAGCGAACGAGCACATACTCCATACTCCAAGACAGCGGCATACGTAAGAAAGAGGCTGAACACGAGAAGTCAGCTCCCAAAAACCCCTCTTTCTAGAAAGAATAACCGTGCACAAGACCACGTGAGCACAGCTGATCTCAGCATCCCCCTCACCATCATCATGCCCGCTCCCTTTCGTACAACCTCCCAATTCCCTCACCCTTGCTCCCACACATCGGCGATGGCAAACCTTCAAGAACGCCCGGACCATCTTCTCGTAAACGCACCCACGACAGAATGACGAAGGTAATTGCAGCGAGTGGATAAACAGAGAGAATGGGAAGCGAACGGCCAGCATTGTTGATTTAGGTCAAACGTCACAGGCACCGTGATGTGGGCCAATAGGCTTGCTAGCGCGGCCGGCCGCTAACCCCACAAACATCCATACGGCCCTAGGGGGGTAATCTAAAACAAACATAGAATAGTTGTCGCGTCTAGAAGCATAGAAATAAATAGGAGATAAATTATTATATTATAAGCTTACTTAGAAAGCTCTCTTAAGTAGTAAAGCTTTTAAGAGCTTATCTTAATCTATGCTAGTATAATTACGTGCTATGCTCTTAAGAAGTATCTAGAGGTGTGTTCTATAATACACTCTCTAAGTAGCCTATAAGAGTAGGCTGCGCAGTTATAATAAGCTCTCTTATTATAGCTAAGAATACTAATTACGTACTTATTAGAGCGTGCGCAGCGCTAAGAGCTTACTTAGCGTATACGCGCTAATTATAATATTACTAAAAATTATTTAATTAGCTAAACGCTCTTTACCTCTTACCTAAAATAAGAGTAAGTATCTCTAATTTTTATTAGTACGCTTACTAACTCTAGTAGCATACTCTATTATACTAATTAAACTAAGCATACCTCTCTATATCTATCTCTAAGCTCTATAGTATTATATTAAATAAGAATAAGTATAAGTATAAGAATAGCTACTCTTCTAAGAATAAGTAGTCTAGTTCTAGCTCTATAAGCGCCTCTAAAATAACTTCTTTAAGTTCTAGTTACGTAAGCGCGTTAAAGGCTAAGCTATTAAGCTCTAACACCTCTAACTTCTCTAAGCACCTAGCTACTCTTTCTAAGGTAGATAATCGCGAGCGCTTAAATAAGCTCTATAGTATTTCTAGAGACTTTTCTAAGCGTAGTTCTTCTAGTAAGAAGTAGAGCTCTAGTTCTATAAGTACTTCTACTTCTACCTATAACCTATTTGCTACTCTAACTTGCGCTTCTAAGAAGTCTAATCTATTTACTAAGTATAGTAATATAGTTACTTAAGAGTAGGCTAATAATATTTTATATTATAATAAGCGCGCTGCCTAGAAGTACGCTAATAAGCAGTACGCTTATAACCTTAAAGCTAAGAATAAGGTAGAGTAAGAGTGTTATAACTAGATTACTTATAAGCGTTGTATTACTAGTTAAGCTATAGAAAATAAGTAGTGTCTGCGTTGTAAGCGTAATAAGTAAGTTAAGCGTAACTTAGAGCGTAGTAATAAGAATTCTAAAGCTAAGGTAATTACTAAAACTAAGCGTATTAAGTCTAAGAATAAGCGCTTTATTAATAAGCAGCGTACTAAGTAAGAATACCTTAAGATTCTACTTCTAAGAGCTATTAAGCTCTATTAAGAGATAGTTCTAGAGAAAGTAATCTGCTAAGCGCAGTAGTCTGCTAATTCTATTAGTGCAATAGAAAAGTATAATAATAAGCAGGCTAGTAAGACTGCCTAGAAAGTATATACTAACTACAATTCTAACGTTACTGCGCTCTCTTAGAAGCTTTCTAGTAATTTCTGTAAGTATTCTACTAAAGTTACTATTATAGTTTCTAGTTCTTTAGCTACTAGTAATGCTTATTCTAATATTCTCTTTCTAGGTTCTTCTAGTTCTAAGAGCTCTACTTCTAAGAATTCTATTACTATCTCTTCTAACGCTTCTAAGCTTTCTACTAAAGCCTTAGGTAAGCTCTCTATTTCTTAAGAGAGTAGCATAGTTTATAACGCTTTACCTTTCTCTAGCTCTACTCTTAAGAAGAAGTAGTATTCTTTTATTATTATAAGTAGTATAGAGAGCTCTCTCTTTAATCTAGAGCTCTCTATCTAGTTTAATAGTTTAGATATTACTAATTCTTCTAATAAGTATAATAATAAGAAGTATAATAGTAAGAAGCATGCGCTTAATAAAGATTCTAATAATAAGAATAATAGAGCTTTAGTAACTAAGTCTATACGCAAGCGCAGCTCTAAGAAGCCTATTTTTATTACTACTAGTAAGCTCTACAAGATAGTGTGCCTCTAATACTTCTAGTCTATAAGTACTAGAAAGGCTACTAACTCTCTCTGCGAAAACTACGTAAGTATTAATAAAGATAAGAAGTCTAAGCGCTGCCTTACTAGTACTATTAGTAATTATAAATATAATAATGTATACGTATACTTTTTTTTAAGCTTAAAAAGCTTTACTAACTCTTTTTTAGACCTAAGTGCATAGAGAAGATTACTAAGTATATAGTTAATTAGTTTTGCACTATAGAGTAGAACCTAAAAACTAGTTATCTACTTAATATTAAGAACTCTTACTTTTATAAGCTTATCTATAACTATAACGCTGCTTTTAAGTAGTACCTTAAGTATAGCTATATAATCTAGAGGCATAGTAAGAAGTAGAGCTTTAATACCTTAAAGGTAGAGCGTAACGCTAATAAGTCTAAGAATACTTCTAGTATTAAGTAGTCTTAATCTAACCTTAATAATAAAACTAATAACGCTTCTACTTCTAAGCAGCGCTCTTCTAGTAAGTTTTATTCTAGTACTCTAACTTCTTAGTGCTAATAAGCTTTATAGAACTTTGTCTAGTAGTTAAGTAGGTTAACTATAATAAGACTGTAGATAATAGTGCAGCGCTCTCTAATAATAATAATAGAAGAGTGTCTTCTAAGACTATTACTAATAATACTATTATAGTTACCTATAAAAGTATTACTACTAAGCTTAGTTGCGTATTTACGTCTATAGAGAAAGTTATACTCTCTTAGTTCTTTGCTTTAGAGTTTAAGTATCTCTAAGCTTACAAGAATACTACTAATAACTAGTAGTGCTTCTCTAACTTTGCGCTTAGATAACTAAAGAAGCGTTACTCTAATTATAGTT